CTTTCTTTTCATCGTGTATTTCACATTGAAGAATTCGAAGTTTTTTGTTCGTCAATTGCTTTAGCAAATTTCAATGAAAATTTTCACATCAGAAAATATGGTGCCAGAATAATAAATTTTTATCTAATTTAATCATTATTTACATATTTATTTTTTAATTTCATTTGCTTACACATATATTAAACTTTCTGAGACTGGCACTTCTGCAATATTCTAGAAATTCTTCGCATTTCCCCATAAAATATCTTCATTAAAATTTATTGAATTGGTGAACGTAAAAAAAAAAGTTTTTCAATACCAAAGAAAGGACATGACTCCCACCTACCTAGTGTTTGATTTTATTTATTTTGTTTTCATATAAAGACACCTATATGTATATTAAGAACAGAATTTCGAAATTCGTGTGCGCACTAGAATTAAATAAAATTATCAAAATTAAAAAAAAAAAGTTTTATAAACACAATGGTTTTGCAATTGGTGTAATAAAAGATAATTGTATTTCACGTCGTTACATTCGCAAAAAGGAACGAACATATTATACCCTTCTTTGCGTGTGGTGCAGATTATACATATCACAGTAAACTTACTTAAATAACTGGCCGCTATCTGTGCGCTGCCGTCGGTTAATTCATCAGTTGTATTAAAACTAGTTTCAAAATCATTCGACCTTATGGTGTTTTACGCAATACAAGCTATGCAATCAATTAGCTGAACGCTAGCAATATGCTCAGGGAATTTCTTGTACATGATCCAGAAATGGCTAAGATAATGATTCAAGAGAAGGCGAATCTTGCGAATACAAAAGTTAGAAAGGAATGAAATGAAAACACAACTTTACCGATAATATTGTGCCCCATCGATGCAAAATCTTTCAAAAAATTTAGTTGGCTGTGGTCACGCAGCATTCTTATAGCATAGCAATAATAAGCTATATTTAAAGACTCATCAGATATGGAAAGAAAATCAATAGCCGGAATCTCGATCAACACGTCTGACCTAATCCGGAACGATTTAGTGCCATCTACTCGTGCCTTTGTGATGATGTGAAATTCGTTTTTCTCAATTGACGTCTGCCTGTTTCGATTCCACAATTCGTCTTAGATATGAGTGCTGACAATTTCATGCATGAAATTACTCAGCTGATAAAATGCTTCATAATACGGCAACGAGATTAAGTTAATTCATAAACACAAACAATTAACTATTAATTTATTTTTTTTTATTAAATCAATTAAATTTCATAAAAAATTAAAATTTAAGTGAACAATGTCCTACGGTGTAAGTGGTGGGCAATTATTGAATCGAACAATTTTAAATCGTAATTTAATCTTTTTTGAAATGCATAGAGTGGAGGTTACAACCCCTATCAACCAGCTGGCGCTGGTTATAATGATGGATACTCAGCTCCTCCTGGAGCCTACCCACCTCAAAATGCTCAGGTCTCACCGGAAGCTCAAAGATGGTTTAATATGGTTGATCGTGACCGTTCCGGTAAAATTAATGCTGAAGAACTACAAAGGGCTTTAGTTAATGGGCGTGGCGAACATTTTTCCGACACGTCATGCAAACTAATGATAAGTAAGTAAGCTCTTTTTACGACAAGAATTTTTCAAAATGTGAAAAAATCAATAGTTTTTCGATATATTATTTTAATCTGCAGTCAGCCTCGCGAAAGCAAACTACTTTTGAAAGGCCTTTTACGCTCTGTTAATTGCTTAGCATCCATTTGCTAGCATCCGTTTATTACAAATCATATAAGTCACTTCAAATTGTTATTTGATTCTATTCTATTAAATTATTTTTTTATGTCTTTGTTATGCGTACACTATCGACGCTATAATTGCACGAAATTAATTCTATAAGGGTGTTCCACAAGTTTTTTCCGCTATGTATGAAATCGAGCCTTCTATGTTTGTAAATACGCAGTCTTATCCATTATAAACGAAAACGCATATTGAGACGAGTTTACGATATCCGCGACTTCGAAGCAATAGATAAAAAATTTGAACTATTTTATTAAATTATAATTTGTTTTGTTTCTTGTTGATTGATTGGGACCTCATTTAGATCATTTAGATGACGGTAACAAATACCAAGAAATAGCAAGTTCTGTCCATAATATTTTACGTAGGTTATAAACTGCAGATTCTTGCATATTGTTGGCATACAATAGGCTAGAAAAATCAAGTTTCGTGTTTCTTTCTCATGCAAGTACGAGCGTTCCAAATAGTAGTACCAAATGTAGGCAGATGAGCGACCGCACGTTGACGAAGAAGAGAGCTAACTGACCCTATTGATGCAAACTATACATAGTTATGAGTTCTCGTGACACACAAATATTCCCATAAGCGAAAGAAGATGGGCGCTAACTTGGAAAGAAAATCTTTGCCAGATAAAATTATTTGCCGACAGTTCCAAAACATTAAAGACATGACTTCACTAAAATTCCTCTCAATGCGAAAACAAAATAACTGATAACTTCGAAAAGACTTTGCAGAACGAATTATCATTTTCTTAGAATTAAAATTAATATATAAATGCAAGTAAAAATAAAATGAAATAAAATTTCTCCGCAGGTATGTTTGACAACGATGCCAGCGGCACCATTGACGTTTACGAATTCGAAAAACTGTACAATTATATCAATCAGTGGCTGCAAGTGTTTAAAACTTATGATCAAGATGGTTCGGGACATATTGACGAGAGTGAATTGAGTCAAGGTTTGTTACGTCATATGATTTAACCCTTTTTCATACAGTATTTTTTAAAATTTTTTTTATTTATTTTTATAAAGCTTTCATACAAATGGGTTTTCGCTTCTCGCCAGAGTTCATACAATTCCTGGTGAAAAAGAGTGATCCGCAAAATCGTAAAGAAGTATCCGTAGATCAGTTTATTGTAGTTTGCGTACAAATACAGCGTTTCACTGAGGCTTTCAGGCAGCGAGACACCCAGCAGAATGGGGTCATAACGATTGGATTTGAAGATTTCTTAACCGTAGCTCTTGGCTGTTCGGTTTGAAGACAAATACTGTAGAAATGCTTTATATTTTATGTAATAGTATAATGGAAAAATTCATCTTTATATGTATGCACGCCTTTTAAAAATTATTGCATTTGTATCGCTGTTTATTTGTATGGTATGCTTTGGTTTCCCTTTCTTAGTATTGTTTAATTTAAAAAAGACCACAATGTTTATACATTCTTTTTAATATGTTTTACTATGTAATTAAAATCACTGAAGTACAAAAAAAATCTTTCAATAACGTAACATCTTTCTGTTACTGCGAGTGAAATGGAAACAGATGATCGTAGGCTGAATTTTCTTGATTCGAATGACTAATCCACGAAGAGATCAATGCTGACATGGCTTTTTATGTAGAGTTCGACTATGTACTTCGAGTCTTACACCTACATAGAGTTCGCTTTAAGTTATTTTGACGTTTTCAGTTAATTTAGTGGTCAGCATTTTCCACCATTAAAAAAATCTGGTCAGTTGGTTACATTTATTTCATAGGTTCCTAGCATGATCAAGCATCTAAAATAATACGTTACGTATGGTACTAAGGCCACCATTGCCAAGTTTTAATTGCTTTTAAAACGTTCAGTGTCGAGCTTAGATTTATTATTGCAAAGCATACTAAATAATTTTCCAAAATAGTTCGATTCCGAAAATGCACTTGTTATATTAACCACCCTTGCTTGTTACAATATTTTTTGTTGTTTCAACCACGAAGTTACTATTCAACTAACTACGCGATCCGACAGACAGTCTAATCGTTCCGTTTTAAACTGTTTTCACTCGCCAGCTAAAGCTGTAGCATTTCTTTCAAAAAAGTAATGCCAGGAAAGTTCTACTAAAGATTTAAACAGATGATCGTAGGCTGAATTTTCTTGATTCGAATGACTAATCCACGAAATTTGGTTGAAATGTAATATATAATCTTTTTTATATAAATGTATCAAAAATATAAATTCATCTCCCCTTGTACGTCTCCTGAATAGTTTTATACAATTTTTATAGGCGTGGCATTCGATTTTATCCTATTTTCAAAAAAAAAAAGAATATTCTCTTTCCATATATATTCACAGAAATGGTTTGGTTGAAATGTAATATATAATCTTTTTTATATAAATGTATCAAAAATATAAATTCATCTCCCTATTTATTTATAGCACTAAGTCAGATCAGAACCTACTATGTTTATTTTCAGAGGTTTCTGTATTTCAACCGATTTTATAAATCGTGGAAGTTCGAGGGAAAACCGAATGATATGAACAAATCATCAAATTTTTGGTTTAAAAGACGTTAGAAGTGAAAAGCGAAGAACTGCAAAGTTTTGCTCATCTCTACAATAGTGCAATTCGCATAGTGCAATTCGCATGCGTACCCAAGCCTAATTGATTGCATATATAGTAACAGAAATCTTAGAAAATTTTACTTTTAACTTGTCAAAAAAAAAATAAGGAATCTTCAGACGGGCTGGCTACACAACCAGGAAAGCAGGTTGGATATTCAAGTGGAGTTAGCAGGGTGCACACAATTTTTCATATCAATTCGAAGACAATAAAAAATCATCTTCTTCTGGTAGAACATTCGTGGCTACAAGTTCTACATGCCTTCCTCTGTCGTCATCGATTTTTATTTAGGCGAAGGTGCAATTCGCAGGAGAAGGCTGGTCGCCCTTCTATTGTCCGTTTAAGCATTCTCCAAATAAAAATTAGCGACGATTGACGACACCTGTTCGAATTACATAAAAAACAAGTTTGCAAGCAAAAATTTATCGCATGCTACCGCATGCCGAAATAATTTTTTGTAGTGAGCATTTTTTCACGTTCAAGAAAAATCCCATGTTATATGAAAAGTAGTTTGCAACCATTTCAGCTTTTATTTCGTATGTAAAAGAGATGAGCTTGATATATTTGCGAGAAATATTTATTGCATCAAAGAATATCGAGCAATATTTTTCTGTGGAAATTTCTGTAAACCCGGTTTTTTTTTTTGTTTATTTATGTCCCAAAACTTTCTGGAACCACAGGCGCCTATCATTAAATAGCAAGTAAGTACAGATTTTCGCTTTTTTCCCAATGGTTACAACTTCCAACCGACTGATCGAATTTAGTTCGAATTTTTGGTACATTTTAAAGTAAAATCGTAGAAATGTTGTGGTACATTCTTTTCCGCAACAGAGGCGCTACGGTAATGTGTAGCCTGATATCTTTTATTTAAAATAAGCACGAAAAAATCGAGCGTCGGTTTTCGAATTGTATACAAAAGGAAGTTGATAGGCCTGCTGTGAAAAATGGACAAAACAGTAAATGGAATATTTATATTATTTGCCATTAAATGATTCCTGCGTGCAAGGCAACCTTTGTTTGACGGTTCATATCAGGTACTGTTACATCTTATGTAAATTACTGGTTATCAATTTAGTTGTAGTCTGTAGAAATTCAAAGTATCTTGAAGCGGGCAGTATTGAACCGATTGTTGCGCAGACGCGATTTTGGCTGACAGGCGTCTTTATGAACGAATACGTACCGCGTCAAAAATATGTCAAATGTGTCATCTCAGGTGACCCAGAAAACTGGCTACCTTCTTATAATTATGCCCATCAAAGAAGGATGAGCGGTATATTCATTTTGTGAAAACGTTTCCAGAAGGAAGCTGCAGAACCTCCACAAATTTTATGCATCCTTGATCAGCATCAAATTCTAAATTGATTTAAGCATGTCCGTCCGCATGTTTTTGCATCAAAACGAGCGGACTCTCAATACTAATTGTATAAATTCATATGGGCTTGTGTGCTACATAGTAGTATTCACTGAAGCATGGCTGAAGTCATGTGTTAATGATACAGAAATTTTGTGCCCGAATTATCGGATGTCTAGGTATGATAGAGTATATAAGATAGGGTGTAGCGTTCTAATTGACGTTCAGAACTCTATAGGATTATCCCTTGTGTTATTTCCCTTCTTTACCGATACCGAATTTATTTGTGTGCACTTACAGTTTCAGGGTATATCGGAGTATGTAACTAGTTCACTGATTCCTCCCACATCTGATATTTCGGTTTATTTGGCGCATCTAGAACTTATTCAGCAGATTGTAAGTTGTTTGACTACGAGCTATAAAATACTTGTTCTAGGTGATTTGAATTTTCCTCGTGTCATCTGGCGGTTTGACGATAAGACGCAATACTTTATTCCATCTTCTTATCCGCATATATTTATAGAGTTTTTCGATGTGATCTGCAGTCTACGACTTTTGCAGTTAAATGAGGTAACTAATATTAATGATAGGTTGCTCGATCTTTAAACCACCATCCTACCATCGGGCAAGCTAAGTCCGTTAAAATACAAATACGTGTTCAGTAAGGCCAACTATAATCCAGTTAGATATTCGCCCGATAAAGTCCGATTTTGTTCAAAAATAGAGTAGAGTAGGCTGTTTAAAACGGTTCCATTGAACCGTAGTTGATTACTTGTGCTATTATAGGACAAGATGTTAACTTTATTCTCTGAGGACTAAATGTTATTTTTTATTTGGGTATATGCGAAAAATGGGAAATCAATTGTTTTAAACAAACAACGCAACAAACCGCACCAACTTAACGTGCAAACTAATATCATGTAGTACACGTGGTTAAGGGTATAATTAAAAAAGCTTTATAATTTCATATTATATTACAAAGCTAACTGAGCCCACTTTTGCAAATTTGTAGGCTATATTTTCATTTTCGCTAATAGGAGAATATTTACCATAAATACTAGACATGTTTAGGTGCATTCCAAACTTTTCAAGAATTTATATACTGTGGATGGTTTTTGGAGGTATATTCTGTCCCTTTGAAAGGTATTGATAAAACAAATTAAATTTTGATACACAATAATATTGGGGTCATTATACGGGGTCAATTTTTCACATTTTTGTTAAGGCCCTACAGCTTTGTCTATAGAATATGCGTCCAAATTTTTGCCCGTTTATTTGCCATAGTTTATAAGTAATGAACAAAAAACCAATTTTTCATTTCGTTTGAAAAAGAGAGCTGTTCTCGTTTACGTGGTGCTATGAACGTGTTCTTCGATCGATTTGGGCCGTTTTTAATGCCAATCTACGCGCAAGAGCTACCATTGTTTCTGGCAAATCTGAAAACATATTTGTGGCCAGGAGAATGTTTACAAGAGACATTACACAGATGGACAGACGGTCAGGCCGACAGACGAACATGCTTAAATCGGATTAGAATTTGATGCTGTTCAAGAATATGTATACTTCGTGCGTTCTGTGAATTTTCCTTGGGGGCGTTGCAAACGTTTTGATCCCGCGTCCTTCGGTGATGCGTTCAAAAATCATTTTTCGATGTTCTTGGCTGAAATGCAATATAATTTTTGACCGAATATTGTACGCAATCAAGAAAATTATTAATTAGTTAAAGACGTTTTATAATTTTTTTCTATAAAAAATTCAAAAAAGTTTATTAAAAAAAAATGTATATAAAAAAAATTCAAGAAAATTTGTATAAAAAACAATCTCAATCTCGTATTGTAGTAGTGTAAAAAAGGTATTATACTGAAAATATATACGCGTTTAGTGTGACGATGACAAGAAAAGAATCTTAATTAAATAAGTCATATTTAGGACTAATGAATAAAGAAAATTTTCAGCCCTGCATTAAAATAATATCTATTGAATTGTTAACATAGTATACGGTTTCAAAAACTTTACCGATTTTAACAATAATTTTGTGTACTTTTCTTCTGTTTTTTTTTTTCAACATTTACTGATGATACATATAGGTAATAATTATTTCTTATTTTCAATTCTACTTTTTATTTTATGTTTTATCTAATTTTCATGTACTTTTTTATTATTATTATTATGATTTTGTCTATTCACTCCTACTGCCGGAGAATGAACTTAGGCGACCGTCGCAAAAACGATGATAACTGAAACTGAAATTTAAAAAAACCCTTTCTTGACCTATTACGAACATGAGTTTCGAAAACGGACCTGATCTGTCCACAATGCAAAAGCAACTAAAACAATCTCGGAAAATACCCACAAGTTTTTCATATTTTCGTGTATAACTCGTGTATGATCTAATGTTAATGGGTGCGCACAAAGGCCAATGAGCCCATTTCCTGCTCGTGTGGGTGATTAGGAAAGAGCGAACAAAGCTTTGCTTTTATTTTATCCGAAAATGTATTGTAAGTTATCCATAAAAATGGTAGTGGAGAGCTTTTGACTGACCACATTACTCTTGAGGCAGATTATATTAATGAATCAAGCAGAAATTTGCAGAAAAAAAAAACGATTTTTTTTCGTTAAACCGGGGAGTTATTGACTTTGTTCTATTCGCACCTTATTGGAATTTAACTTTAACTTCTGTCTATTACGTGCACAAATATGAAGTACGGCGAAGATGCTTTTTTTAAAATGTTCGTCAACATTTCAAGTTATCCCCCCGAAGGGTACATAGCGTAGTTATGAACGTAATACTTTTTTAACTATGAATATGGGTCGAGTTTGGTCCCAAAAAAAAAAAAAAAAAAAAATGGCATACACGCAAAGAGTTATCGTTGTTGTTAGGTTGAGGAACAATGCGGCTCAATAGTGTTAGTTTGTGAACAGAGCATTTGTTACGATATTCGAAGCGGATATTCCAATAGTGCGAACGACGACGTTCGCCTCCTTGTAGCAATAA